CACGTAATACCCGCGCAGCTGGAATTCGTGGTGAACGATGCATCGTCACCATTGCTTTCGCGTTCAGCTGACGTTATCGGTGTTACGGATGGATCGCGCGCTCGCCGGTAGAGACAGAGGAACGGCATAAACGATCGGCCGGGCGGACGGCCGACCGGCCGGCTTTTCAGTGGCCTTGCAAACTGGTTCCCTGCAACCCGACTCGATTATGCTAATCGCACATGCGTGTTAGCATTCGACTGATCGGCTCGCATACCTACACAAACATATACACATATACACATACGGCGCGCGTGGCCCATGTGTTTATATCGTAGCACACCGTCCTTACGTACACGATCACGGAAGCAAATGCACGCATATGCGTTGCATACGGTTAAGAATCAGGATACCGATGACGCCCGAGTATATGTGTTCATATATGTGTGTGCTGGAATCCTTGATCGCGAACACCTTTTAATGCCACCTCGACCTCCCGCCAACCCGGCATCCTTTAATGCGCGTAACGGTATCTCTGAAGTGTTCCGCCGTGATCGCATTTCTTGCTAAATCTAACGTGGTTGTTTCTTAGCATATTTCTTTCAGTCTTCACACATTTGACGTACTATATTTTCGACGTTTAATTTTTCTTTTCACAAGTATTATATACACTTATTATTTATTAGTTAGAAAAATACTACTAGATAATTTGTAAAATTTAGTTTTAATATGAGATTTGTGTGCAAGATATCCGTGGATTCTTCATTTGTATTAATGTAATTAATGGTACATTAATATTATTGCATTTTAGAACAATACGAAACGAAACACTAACCGATCTAATTAAAGCGTTCTTTTATTATTGTTACATGCGTAATTCTCAGCATTATTAAAAATTATGATATATGTATAATAACGCGTTAAAATGTAAATTCATTGTACAATGGTCGCTAGTCCAGACAGGTTTAATGTCCGAGAACTTCCCGTCGAAACAAATAAATCATACAACAGCAATATCGAATGCATATAATAAATTCGATTATGGTATAATATACAGTTAAAAAAATAATGTCATCCTGTTTCTGTAGGACGGATCATTTTATATAACAAAGTACCTCGAAATCGTGATATTTCATAAATCCGCATCAATTTTTACTTAATAATCTTACATGAGTCGTCTTGTTTCTTTGCGAGTTAGCTCTTCTTCTCTTTTGTTCCAAATTATATGTTATATATAATGATAGCTATTACCGCGTCCGCTTCGCGCCAATTTTATATAATTGCTTGTAGTGTGTGGGCTATATGAAAGTCGTCGATTACCATATTAACATATTGCTGTCGTAGAATAAAAAATTGATCATGATACTAGCTAAAATGTAAATTGACCTTAAGGATTTATAATACAGTGGCTATTGTTAATCATATATTAGTTCGTTGCCATATTACTCCTCTAATTTTATGTATTATATATATATACTTTATTAAATGTGCATCAATTTTTATTTATCTTCTCGCGTCTTAAAATACCGTAGTATGCCACTTAAATGTGAACACCTGAAGAGTGTGAGAAGAGCGTGAGGAGAGCTGCTATCTTATGTGCGCTAAGTGTTACATAGTACAAGGTCAGGAGCTCGTAACTTTTTAATATAACTCCGCTGCTGTACGTGGCATCAGAAATACATTCAGTTTACAACGCATTTAGTTTACGACTATTTTACGAGGTGCGAACGACACGAGCTATGAGTTCCATAACTGTCAAATCCAAGTGCCATTTATGGCTCAATCTTTACGGCTGCTAACGACGTCGTTTATTTTATTCAGCCGTTTTATCTACATCAGCCGGTGATACGTATACATATAAACAGATCGATCAACGTTTTTTGCTGTCTTTCTTATACGGTCTTATAATGAAAACGATTATACGTATCAGATTTTATCATTTCTCAAATTCGATTATATTTATTATCTCTAATTTAATATTATCTTTTCTATCTTTTAAAATTGAAACAATATGAATGTAATAAATGCAATTCGCTTCTTCTGGGATGGACGACTGACAATCAACACCTCGACCATCTTCTTTTGATTACATCGAGATAGTAGATAAGAGAATGCGGGACAAAGAAATTCCTATCCAGAGGCCATTTTGCTAACTAGAGGCCATCGTAGTTATATGACGTCACTTCCATATCCAACCATGGCGTCACATGACGCTCCACCCTGTTTTCAATCACCTTGGCCCCGAACCCACCCAGCTGTCAGACATGCTCCACCCCGTTTTTTCCTCTTCTTCCGTGCTATCACTATCGCCATCTGCCGACAATATTATGTACTTCTTAGACCCCTAAATAATCAGTTGGTTTATGATCTTTCCGGTCGATGTCACCACTAAATGAGGCCTAAGATCCTTATCTGAGAGAGAGAGAGAGATGTATGTATGTATCTTGAATTTGACATAATTAACATGTTATACCTTATTAGACTATAAAGACTAACTGTTCTCTATAAATAATTGTTATTGTGTTATATACAAATGTATTGGTTTTTTTTATTTTAATTTTAAAAAAATTTCTCTAAATTTTGAGATTCATAAAATAGTTTGAAAAATCAACTGTAACATACGATAACTGATTGTGCACACTTCGCTACTATTAAATTAAAGAGGTGCAAGGGGAAAGAGGACGAGAAGCTGCGAAAAATACTCCGTCCACGTCAATAGGATTCAGATACTTGCACTTCAGAGGAGGATACATAAAGGGGAATTTACGGGGCGGGAATTGAGTTCAAATCCTGCGAGAGGTTGAATTTATACGCGAGAGACGAGGAAGGAGAGGTGCTGGGGAAGGGGTGGCGAACGCGTGGAATCGCTATCGGCGGCCATTCATCAATCCGTGGAATCAATACGCTGGAATTAATGAAAGCGCCGCGCGAACAGCAAGCTAGCGGCCGGAATGTTAATCGCGATCGTCCGCGTCCGACCCGTTCTCATGTACAGCAAACTCCCAAGGGCCGCACCTCTCACCCTCTCTCACACTCACACCCTTTACCCTGCTATGCTGCCCGTTGCACATCCAAACCCGTTCCTAACTCCGTGTTTAGCACCACCCACACTGTCGTGCCACCCGCAACAATACCATATGTACATTCACATGTATATTTTCATTTATTCCTTTGCGACGAGATAAATTTTTTACAATGTAAAAGCTAAATGTATTATTGGTTTTAAAGGATCATTTTTTTTTATTAACCGCTTTTAACAGTATTTTAAATTTTATCTTGTTGTGTATTTAAAGAATTAACGAAGTTTCTGCTTTAAGAGAATAATTTGCAATGTTTTATAGAAACTTTTTAACTAGAAACTTTTCAACTAGGAACTTTAATCAATTCTGTATTTTTATTTAGCCAACATTGAAATTAAAAAAAATTTAAGAAGCTATAGAATTTGAAAATTGCGAATATTACGCGATTTGTATTTGAATAAGTTGTACTTTGAAACATCAGATATGGTCGGTATAGAAGGTTTTGATTTTGAATCGGCAGATCAACATGTCTCATAAAAGGCAAAAATCTTTCGTATTTCAGTCGATAAGAAAGCCATGTATTATTATTTTGTCAACAATGGTGATATCCTGGCCACATGCAAATAATGCCTTTTAGAATTAAAATAAGGAAAAATATTATATTCATATAATTGTTACGAGTATTAATCTTATTTTTATTTTTGCGAACCGTAAAAATTGTTGTGGGTCAAAATTTGCTTTACATTATACATACGTACAAAAAAGAATTAGTTACATTACTAATCGCTATATTTATTGATTTTTAAAATTATATTTTTAATATTATTAATTCGATATTATATTTGAATAGTTTTTCTTATAACATTTTCATTCTTGCGAAATGTATTTAATCGGATGCTATGTATTTATTTTTGTTATTTTCTTTACTGTTTTATTATTAAATAGGATTTAATAATAAAACATGAATAATATATCTTAATTTTTATATTTTTATATTTAATATATCGTAATTTTTAAATACAGATTAAATGTATAAATATAATTTAAATGTATTGTTTTAAATAATAAGATAATGTGTATAATGAAAGCAATAATGTTTTTATAATTAAGTTTGTATAATATTTGAATAATTAAGTTAAATTTGTTTATAAACATGAAATCACATGTAAAACTATAAAAAAATGTTTTTAATTTAGTTATGTAATGGCTTGGTTGAAATATGAATATATATTTACTTAGAAAGATAAATTAAGTAAATTAAAACCGCTATTCACACTTATTTCTTGTACATGTATAATATCTCTTTTATATTTAGTTGTTTGATTTTAACCTGACATATTGAGTTAGATAAGAATGGTCCCGATACATTCTATTATACTAATTTCATGCAACATGTGCATCGGAACCTTTACAAAATTTCCGAAAAAGAGATTAATGCGAAGGGGAAAGGTTCTTGTGGGAAGTGGCTATGCTACCTAATGGATGGAAATTTTTCCAAATTTAACGATCGCTTAGCCCGCCCACACAGAACACTGTAATAAGTTTGGCGTCTGTGCGATGGCCGTCACCGTGACGAGCACATGTGTAACTTGCCTTCTGTCATTCACGCGCTAAACTCTGTTCAGTATATCCAGTTCGCTTGACAAGGATCATGCAAAGTTTCAGTTACGTCTGCGATATTATATATTTATATATCGTAAAATCTTCGCAAAAATAATGGTATTTATTTGAAAATTTTTTTGCTGATTATGAAATTTATGGCAGTTGCCAATTACTAATGTTTTTATCATTTAGTAATTTTATTATTTAATAATTTATCAGTATTTTTAATTATATCGTAAATTTAATATAATTGTTATTTACATAAATTTACATAAAATTATTTACATGAATTTTATGCGATGCTTGATACATATGAATTAATGTAATTCTTAATATTGTAGTATTGTAATATTGTACAAATAACGTAATGTGTAACACGTAGATTTTTTTGTGTTACAGGTGCGGCGTAATTTCGATTATAGGGTGGACAGAGGAACGAAACGGGTCTGGAGTGGCTTGGCGTTTTGAACGAAGGTGTCACACCGGGGAAGACGAAGGACTTTGATTATTATCTTCCGCTACCACTTTGTGTATACGTGGTATACTCTCCCCCTTCTCCACTTGCTAATTAAAAAGGTTCTGTAGTGCTCCAGTTAATAATTTTATCCTCTTTTGGTAGTGAGCTCAGTGTGATACAAAGTCAAATGATGTACATGTGATCCAAAATGATGGTAATTTGATACATATATACATATATATATGTGTGTGTGTGTATGTGTGTGTATGTGTGCTGTGCTGCTCAAGAGTGCGTGAGATGACAAGGGTAAAGTGAGAAAAAAATAAAAAAAGATTCGTAAAGAAATGCAATTCCGAAGTGATAAATCTGTATCTATGTAAAGACGTGTGCCAGTGTGTCCGCACAGGAAGAGTACAAAACAAAATAAATTTACGAAGATAAAGGGATAGAGAGAAGAATAATAGATCAATTGAAGATAACCAAAGGAAAGTCAGCAACGTAGAGAAGTGACATAAGCAGGTAGGACAGGTGGGACAGTAGCATGAGTTCGTACTTTGCGAATTCGTATATCCCGGACCTGCGAAATGGCGGGGTGGAACACCCGCATCAGCATCAGCAGCACTATGGTGCGGCCGTACAGGTACCTCAGCAAACACAATCGGTCCAGCAACAGTCTCAGCAAGCCGGCGATCCCTGCGATCCGAGTTTGTTACGTCAAGGAGTATCCGCCCATCATTATGGAACCACGGGAGGTCAGCAAGATATGCCTTATCCCAGGTTTCCCCCGTACAACCGGATCGACATGCGGAACGCGGCCTACTATCAGCATCAACAGGAACACGGAAGTATGGACGGCATGGCCAGTTACAGGTCGACATCTCCGAACACCAGTATGGGTCACATGGGACACACATCAACCCCTAACGGACATCCGTCCACTCCCATCGTCTATGCCAGTTGCAAACTTCAAGCGGCTGCTGTCGATCATCAAGGCAGCGTTCTCGACGGACCGGATAGCCCGCCTCTCGTCGAATCGCAGATGCACCACCAAATGCACAGCCAACACCCTCATATGCAGACGCAGCAATCGCAGCATCCGCAGCAACAATCGCAGCATCAGCATCTGCAGACACAGCAACAACATATGATGTACCAGCAACAACAATCTCAAACTACATCGCAACAGGGACAAAGTGGAATGCACCCGCAACAGCAACAGCAAACTCAGCAGCATCAAAGCGTTGTTGCATCATCGCTCAGTCAACAACAGCAAGGCGCGGCTCAAAGTTCGGCGAGTGCGAACTTACCAAGCCCGTTGTATCCTTGGATGAGGAGTCAATTTGGTAAGTGTTACATTTTTATAAAATTTATATAATTACGATGCATCTTCTTCTCTCAGACTTCAAATTGTTATCAACTAATGTTTATGAACGAAAAGAAAAAACATTTTATAGTATAAATTAAATGTACAAAACTTATAATTTATTGTAATCTTAACTTTTTGAAAATTCTAATATATACATATTTAGCAATTTATCACATTAAAATTTATTATTATTATTAAAAGTTGTTTTACACTTTTTCTTATATATTATATTGAATAAAAATGTAATAGAAAAGACTTAAGATTTTAAGAATAAAATCAACGTTTTATTTTATGCGTGACCAAAAGAAAGCTAAGTTTCTAGTAAAGTAGTTTCTCAGGTAGCAGGTAGCTAACTTTTATATTTATGCAACGGAGGACAAAACTAAACCAAATCCGTACGGTAGCTGACTCAGGATTGGCACAATGTCTCTAGATACGTCGCGACCAGAGTTATTTATTGCGTTGACCTGTTAGCCTGTCTGTTAGTTTCACCGCTCGTTCATCAGGTCACAATAAGCGTTATCTCTTGTTCTTTTTTCGTGTGGCTACCGCTTGAAGTCTCAACGAGATATTCGTTTTTATTAACATAATTTGTAATATTGCAATTTGTCTTTTTTTCATTCTTTTATATGCGGTACATCTTTGAGTAACGATCGAAGGTATCCAATATCTTTCTAAATATGGAATTGGTTCAAAAAGCGCTTACTACCATATGTCTGCTCAATGCTTTAATGTCTATGCAATTAAATAATACTCCAACAAGATAGTAAACGTTTTGACAAATCTTCTCGTGTTTTTCACGGTATTCAACACTTTTCGAATCATGTATCATATGTCTATTTATGGCTTTGTATGGCATAGCTATAAAAGAGTAACAATAAGGCTGGACCGTCATTTAGGTAGAAAAAATCTTGGCATGGAATTGAATAAGTTATGGAATCCTGTTAAGCGCACCATTCCATCATTCACTTCTTCGTTTCTGTATTGACTCGTAGTTCGACCCATCTTCGATGAAAGAACGATATGTCTGTATTACCCTAATTCTGCAAAGTAGCATCTGTCCGAAACAAAAAACTTTAACGACCCACTCTTACCTTCTCACCTATCTCTTATTCTTCAGTTATTCGTCGCTTCTTCTAGAAACAGCTTCTCTCCATATCTTCTTTAAGTAACCACAAATTGATCAGTGAATAAATGACACGATTAACTTTTTTGCGAAACAATATTTACAAAATTACATTTCAAAAATAATAGAAAACAATTAAAGATACGTGCCAATATTTAAATAAATTTAGTGTTTATTATATTTTTATCTTTAGTATTAAAATATTTAAAATGTTTTATATTTTTTTATAAATTATGACTTTTCTGTTGTATACATATTTTTGAAGTATATTGACAAAACCTTTTTAATTAAAGTATTGAAAATATATTAAATGTGAATTATTGATATCACATTTTGAAGTGTTTTTACTGTTGTAATTATTTTTATTTGTTTCTAGACGTTCTGAGATGTAATTATAGTTTTTAACATACTTCTGTCGAAAATATATCGCAGTAGAATTATGAATAAAAAATTGCAATACTTTTCGATAAGCTTTTTCGAAATGTACAAATATCATAAATTATTATTTTTACAACTTTGCACTGAAAAAAAGATTGGCTGCTGCAGCAAATTAGATGGTAAAATATGACATAGCATTTTTAATTGGTTGTATCAGTCAATTTTTGGTTGCGTTAGCCTATCCGCAATGTTAGTATAGGATTTCGATAGGCTAACACAACCAAAAATTGACTGATACAACCAATTAAAAATGCTATGCTATATTTTGCCATCTAATTTGCTGCAGCAGCCAATCTTTTTTTTCAGTGTGGTACTTAAAAATCATAAAAAGAAGAAATATTGAGTCTTTTTAGCAATGATTATACATTCTTTTTTTGTTAATGATTACTTGTACCATCTTTCGGTTAAATTCAGAAGCAGATCCCAAGTCTGCTCCGGGATTGGCCGATAAACACTACGCTTATAACGACGCCGGGGCTTGTAGTTTACTGCCTGTTAAACGAAGAAAATGGCTTAAGTCCCTGAATGTGCTCACAGATGTCGGCACGTTTAAGAATGTTTCGTCTTATTCTCGTATCTTATTGTCTTTATAAAACTAATTTTGCTTATTTTGTTAAAAAATGTTACATAACATTTTTTGTATAAAAATGCATAGAAGAGTTCGTTTAGATCGCATTTTGATAAGAAAGTAAATGATTTTAAGAGAAAAATGAATATTATTTTAAAAAGATATAATTAATTAATTTTCGGGTAATTTTAATTTTATTTCTATTTGAAATATATTATTTGTACACTTTTAAAATTCATTTACTTTATATTTATCTATCTGTATTTATGTGTCTTGTTAACCTTTTAAAATCCTTATAAATTTGATATAGTTTCTTGACTGTAACTAATTTTATTACACACACGTATTCTGCAGACTTCAATTGCTACATAATTTGAATTAAACACACTAAATCAGATTTTTGTGAATTCTGTACAGTTCTATTTTACGGATACCGTTAAAGAGCATTTGTTTGGTAAAATTGCTAAGATTTCTTAATATCTTTTGTGGGACACATTACACAAACCGAGAAATTCCGGCATAGTTAGTTGCATTATAGTTGCATTACGAAGTAAAGACGTGCAAGCATGCATACATTCTTTTGTTAATGCCAAAAATTTAAAGAGACACAGTTATAAATATACATGACGTAATAGAAATTCTCCATTTTTCTATTAACATATGTTTGTATCAGAATTTTCTCACAAAAACGTTGTAGAAAGAAAATTTTATTATTATAATTTAGCAGTTTAAAAAATTTTAAATAATGCTTATATAGAAAAAAAACAAACAAAAAAGTATTGCTATACGTTAATTTGATAAGATTCGAAAATCTCGACATAATCTTTTTCATATTGATAGCAAACGTGCTTGCCATATTACAACACTGTTCAACATTTGGCATTCCGATCCCAAGTGTTGATCCAAGAAAAGGAGATCGACCATCGTACTTTTAATGCATGAGATAATTGCGACCCTCTGTGTGAAAAGATTTATGACATCTCGACTCCTTCCCCCCTCATATATTCTCAATCGGCAAATAAGCATGGCGTGATACAGTTACAAAGCTTCCGTTATTGCATACGTGCGTGCACGCTCGTATATTACATTCCTTATGTAATGTATATTCTGAGACGTTCAGAATATATGTATATGCTTTAAATAAATTGTCGCGATATGAAACAAAGGATACGAAAAAAAATAAAACAGTTCAGTTAAATGAACAAATTTTAAAATACATTCCATGCTTTTCTTTTTATATATATTTCTTTATTTTTTCACAATAAAAGCATTATAAACGTATTAATATCAAATGAGATATATATTACATATAAGATAGAGGAAGGTCATCGATATCGACATACTATTTTGTTTTTAGACAATATTTTTTAAACAAAAGGTAAAAATACAACTTCAAAAACATAAATACAAACTAAAAAGTGTCTTTTATCAGATAGTATAAGCAGTTTTTATAATACTATTTGCAATTTTGCAATAATTAAGTTTTTCGTAAGTTATGCGTCTAACAAAATGGGATCCAAAACTGACATAGTAGGCAATAATGCCAACATTCCTATTCTATAAATAAAGATATATCCTATTCTCTAAAAAAAACTAATTTATGAAACTATAACATTTAAAATGACGTAATATTATCAATAATACGGTCATTATTATTTTAATTACGCAATTTACAAAAGAACACCGTAAGAATTTTCTTCTCGGATTCATAGAATTTGTTTTTAGCTGCTTTGGTATAGAAATAAGCCACAAATATATGAATTATGAGTTCGTACTTCTTTAATTAGCTAAATAGATCACATTTTTATTAATATTAATAAGGTGCAAAGGTTAGTTTCTAAGAAATAAGGGGATGTCACTTTAGGAGACCTATGTCAGTATCGGTGATCTTCCTCTACTAGCATATTTTATGTACTTACTTAATATTATATTACAAGATCGAAGTCATGTAATAAAATTTTATAAAATGTTTAAAGCTAAAATGATATTCGACGCGTCAGATACATGTAAAATTTATAGTTGTTATTCGAGGAATGAATCAGCAGATAGAACAAGAAGAATCAGCATTCCAAATCCGATATGCATTTTATTATAATCCAACTAGCCGCTCAACAGATTGGTGGCCATAACGATGGCGGCTTCGTGAGATATTCAAAAAGCGATGGAGTCCAAAAGGGGCAGGAAAGGAGGAGCTAAAAAAGGTGAAAGAAGAGAAGACATGTGCGTGTATATGTACGCACTCATATGTGTACATATGTTAGAAATAGAGAGAGAGAGAGAGAGAGAGAGAGAGAGAGAGAAATCGAGGCGGTAGAAAGAGGTAGAAGGGATGGATGATGATGATGAATGAATCCACAGAAATCCTGGGACCGTTTTCTTTTGGAGCTCCGCCATGGAGGCAATTGTGAACGATATGGAGGTCGTGGTTTGATTTTCTATTCGATATTTGGCTAGAATTCAACGTTTAAAAGACAAAATTGTCTCTATTTTGTTGCGATTTGATTTACTCATTTACGCAACGTTTAACAATCAATTTGAGTTTTTGCATAAAATAAAAATTTCTATTTGTCACGATTCACTCTTAAGTTTTATGAGATAGCTATACTGTTCGTATCTAAAGTAGCAGGTGCAAGAGAAAAAGTAAATTTTAATGCTCCGAGTGATAGCCGTAAAGATGCATATGTCGCGGCAAGCCGTTCTCGCTGCTCATTATCTCAACCTTCTACCTCGGGGCTCTTTCAGACTCCATCTTCTTGTCTGCCTGTCTGCTCGTCCGCCCGGAAGATCAAAAAAAGGAAAGCGAAAGCAAGGAGGAAAAACTACCTATAGAATACTCTAGTCTCCTTGAGAGTTTCTAAATTTCCTCTATAAATGTTAGCGGACTTGATGCTTTTCTCTTTCGCTAAAAACTTCTGTGAAATTCAGTCAATCTTAGTCTATATGAAACATTAAAACTACTTCAATTTTACGTTGAAATTATAATTTTACTAAAAGAAACAAAAGTAAAATATTTAGGATTTAATCCATTTTATGAGAACCGTTTGCGTAAGAATTACTAATAAAAATGAAAATAAATTGTCTGATCTAAAATATGTAGTAAAATTAGAACATCATAATTTTTTATCATTATTAATCATGTCTCTGCACTATTTATTTATACAAATTGTTTCAAAGAATACTCTTTCGAGGAATATATATTCAAATCTTCAACATTTAAAAATAAAATTTTTAGTTATGTTTGTCATTAAAAATTACATATAACAAACTGAATATTAAATTCCAACTTTGTTGCAACTGAGCGTTTATTTAAGAAAATTTTAAAAGCTATCCATATATATACAATTTTGTGCAATATTAATGTCCGTCAACGGTGTAGATACAACCCAAGGTTGATACCGTGAGCAAATGATAAAATTAATGGTACATCTAGGATATCTAATCGAAGAGCATTTCAAGGCCCAGCCTTATAGTGCCCACGTAAAGCTTAGCTTAATTGGGCACCGAGTGGTGGCCGCACCTTATTAGCGGGTTACAACATCCGGCTAGCTGTTAATCTGAAAAGTCCTGCGTGTATCCTGCGGCGGGCCTGAAAGACTAGTCAGGCAGGAGGGGAAGCGGAGATACGGAGCAACTAGCCTATAATAAGCCGCACGGTTGTGTACGTTCTGTTCTGTTTCGTTCCTTCATGCTGCGCCAGTGAAGGCAGACCCATAAATCTCCCGGGCATACTCCAGGGGACATTTGATCCTTGCGTAACCCAACGCCGTTAATTTATTGCTCCGCGTTTAAAGTCACCTCCGTCCGCGAAAGCCGTGGCAGCGCTGGTACGCCGATCCGGCGCAAACTTAAGCCATCGGTATGACTTTCTTATTACAGGACTTCTTTCCATACACGCGTATGCATGCTTGCGTGTATGTATCACATATCTTAAAAATATCAATGGAATCACAGTAACATCACATATATAATAAATTAAATGTGAGAAATATGATAATAACGTTGTTCCTAAAAATAAAAATTAATCTTCAACATTTAAATTACAAAAAAAACTGGATTTTAACATTTAGAATTTAGTCACATTTAGCGTTTTTTATGTATTTTTATTAGGATCTGTTAAGAATAATTTTTTCAATTTCAAAATATAAGTAATATCATCAGTTCAACTCTTTCTATAGTTACATCTTATAAAAGCATGTAACCATTATGTTATAAATAACGTCTGAGAACATAAAATATTGCTGTCTTTTTAATTAACCCCACTCAACTCACGTATTATTGTTCGCTGTCTAATTCTCATATCCGGATACATCTAATCGATTTTAGTCTTCAATAATCAAATCGATTGGCTCGAAAACTTTATAGGTTTTAGCTCATAAATAATACAGACTCGTCTCGATGCAGCGTTTAATAATTCATTTCTTTGCTCTGCAACATCTAGTGGCATGAGAGGATTTATGGGCGAAGTGACCTTTTGAAACAAACCTGATTATTACGCCGCATCAACTCAGGATTATCTTTATTTAAAGTGATCGTATAAACGTATTTCAGACGAATATATAAGTTTCGAATAAAAATCTATATGTGTGTGTCTATAGAATTTTTTTAGCGTTTTAAAAATAATGTACGGTTGCTATGTTGAAAATTTCGATGTTATTAATCAGTTAAAATTTTAGTCATAAACTTTGATTTCACATACGATTTATCTATTTACAGAATAAAATACTACAAATAAAATTACATAAATAAATTGACATTTTCTAAAGTGTTAATGCAATTGAACGTGTTTCATGTATTTCACCGACGCGTGACGCTTTGATGATCTAGCCTCAGATCTAGAACATGATCTTCATTAACGTGGTGTGACAAATGAATATTAATAGGATACAGCTTTCATAGAATAGTCGACGGTACACTTGATAATCAATTATGATAATATTTTTTTTATATGTACATGATTTCATAAAAGCATAATCTATTTATGCGATGACCGATATAATTACTTTTTAATAATATTTATTATATTTTTGGCAGAACAGTAAATGGGTGTTTTCGTAAAATAACGGAAAGAAAGAGAGCCAAGGAAAGTTGCCTAAATCGTTAAAGCTTATAAGAGAGCGCTAGAGATTGGTATGTTGTTAATTTGAGAGCGTAGCCCAAGGGAAGGAATAAGAGGGCATGTTCCCAACTTTCTCTATCCTCTCCTCTCTGCCCCTCTCTTTCTCTAACGCGCGTTTTTTCTCTTCCTCCGTATATCGTCCTCTTCGTCTAGTCGAAGGTTCAGGAACCTACGCGATCTCTCCATCTCTCTCCGGAGCAGAACCGCCATCCATCTTCATCGGCCGACAGCGCGACGGGCGGCGTTTGCCTCGAATGCTCGCCAAGGAGTTTTCTTCTTCTTCTTCTTCTTCTCCTTCTTCACCTCTCCCCTCCTTACTTTCCAGTTCTCATCCCTACGCCTCTTCTTCCTTCTTCCCTCCCTCATACCGTTCTGAAGCATTCTCGTTTTGCTCTCTCACTCGTATGGCGGGTTAACCGAACCAAACCCTTTGAGGTTTATACCTTGTAAAGTTGCGAGACTTCTCACACAGAGTCAACTCGCTCTGTCTCCTTAGTATCTTCCTCCGTCTTTTCCGTCTCTCTCGCTCTCTTGGCAACCATAATTAATATTCTTGTTCGGAATTCGTGTACCGCGCACTGACCGCAGATCATATCGCGGATATCGCTAAGGTATCTATCATATGCGGAACTGCATTTACGATCCTGAGTCTTTTCTTTATTCGCAGCGGTATTTTATTTGTTTCATTAAAGTTACAGAAACTTCGTTGAAATTTACAGAAACTATCGGTCAATTAATTCGATCATAGGCTGTAATATTTATGAAATATATTAGTTAACTTAGTAACATTAGTAATATATTAGTTAACTTAGTAACATTAGTAATAATTTATATTAATTTGAAATTTTAATTTCTTTTGTTTCAGAAAGGAAACGGGGTCGGCAGACCTATACACGATACCAAACGTTAGAACTGGAGAAAGAGTTTCACTTCAATCGATATCTTACTAGGCGGCGACGCATCGAGATCGCACACGCGCTATGTCTGACGGAACGGCAGATAAAGATCTGGTTTCAAAACAGACGGATGAAGTGGAAGAAAGAGAATAAGACGAAAGGCGAGCCGGGCTCAGGCGATGGCGACACTGAAATCTCGCCGCAGACGTCGCCGCAGGGTTAAAAGAGCTCCGAGGGGAGTGGAACTTCCTTTCCACCTCTCTCAGGATCGTTAATACCTTGTTTCCAGCACTACCTCCTCCCTACCCAAACTCCAATCCCTCATCGATGACCTCCAAATGATCCCTCTAAGCAATGACGCTTATTTTGTCGTGTTAATCATGTTGCTTGTACCAAAAACGAAGCAGATAATGATGAAGACGAGGAAGTTGTAGAAGGACCCGTAAGAGCGCTTGAAGACGATAAGAAGGGAACTTACGATAAACCCAGAGACGTTAAGTTACGAGAATGCAAGAAGAAGAGAATAAAACGAAGTAAAGACGCACAAACGAGTCAGCAGAGGATTTGCGTGAATGCGCGTGAAAAAGGTGGATCAAGATTATTGATCGAGAAGAGTAAATAAAACTGGATCACATGCTAATCAGAACCGCGTTAACCTCTATTACGTTTAATCGATTATTGTATACTAAAATCCATATATATATATATATACATACATATATACATATGGATAGAGATATATGTAGTTTAATGTGGGAGCGAGTGACCGATGACCGGTTGGCACTAACGCACGTAGAAGACATGGTTCCGAATGATATAGTATTAAGAGTTAAACCTACTGAGAAAGAATGATTGCGCGAATCTGATTGCGAGTATGATAGAAAAAAAGATCGTGTTAAAATCTTAGGAGAGCATTTTATTATTTATTCTCTTACATCGTAAAGTAGAATTGTAGGACGATTAGTAGAATAGCCGTACGAAGATGTCCATCGCGTCTGTATTTAGCGATAGGTAAGCGGTTTAGTGTCCTTAGAGGATTGTTTAGATAGATTTTTTTCTTTAATATCGCCGAGCGGTGGCTCTAACGAGGATATTTATGATTCGTGCCAAGTGTGATCTTTGAGAATGTGTTTTCATAAAATTCGAAGGAGGATTCGAGTAACGGCGGGATACAGCAAGTGGACACAAAGAGCAGTGCAAAAGCGGAAGAGAAAAATCGCGAAGTTTACGTCTTATTCTGAGAATAGTGATACAAGTGTGTGCAAAACTAATTCCATGGAAGATCAGTGAATTTTGATGTATAAATAGAAAGGTCACGGCGTTGTTTTTGGATTTTGTATGCGGAAAAAGCGACCATGAATGGGACAGACTAGTGTTGATTGATAAAGTGAATATGAAAAAAAAAACAGCGCCCTTCGGCGGAGCAGAGTCAAATGGACTTGGCATTTCTTCATCAGCGTCATCGCAAGGTTAGTCTTATAAAGATTGCTAATGATATGCAATTATCGGTTACATTACTTTGTTTCTCGTTAAATCATCGTGCATTTGATAAGAACAGTAAGCTTTGAACTCCAACGGAATAAGCTTATATTTTTGTGTAATTGATAATGCATAAAAATGTAGCTTATCCGTTTAATAACCGATAGTTGGAAAAATTTGTTCCTATCACGCATATTGCTCAAAAAATGACGAGTATATAATGTATATAAGCAGTTCTTTCCTAGCTAAAAAGCGTGTCTGTGCTTGGAAAAGAATGTTCAAATTAATCAAAATTTTTACATTATTTTCGATAATTTAGAAATGTATTTTATATTATTATTTATTATTTGGATCAAGAACTTTTAGTTTGTACTTGAAATAGTTCAAATAATTTCAGAAAACGACTATTTGATATTAAGATATTTGGTAATATCTAATAATATTTGATATTATAAATAAATAAAGTGTATATAGCGTGATGTCTTTTACAATGTCGGACACGTAATGTGATCTCGAATAAATTATTTTCTTTAGAATTTTTTTAAAAGAGTAAATGCAATAGTTATACTCGTAATAGCGTTGCAATTCTTCTTTTTTCTGTAAATATTAAGAGAAGATAACTCAAGGAACGAAAGTTTATTTGCATTAGTAGCTATCGAAAATTTGCTCTTGCTCCGCGCGACACGACGCCAAGTTACCAAGTGTTATAATACATAGCGTATTTTCGGAATAGGATGCTTTCGGCATGAAACCGCTTGGCACCTTAATAGTGACTTAGAGCTAACTTGACCAAAAGAAATTGTTTTATTATGTATATACGATAATTTAATTGCATTATCATTCCAAATAAATATATTGTTTGTTTGATTTTTATAATATATAGTACGAAAATTATTCAAATAATGTTTATTTTAGTTTTTTTAACTGAGTGATTGTGCTTCTTTTGTGAATTATTTTCTATTATTTAGATATATGGAGAATTTTATATAATATTTTTATTTAGTTTTTACATAACAAAACACTTTCTGTATATGATAAATGTGTGATCAACAAGAATCCAATTTGTTACATTAATATTGAAACAAGCGTGTTAAGTGTGGCAAGCGGTATCAGGGCACTCGTCAACTCGATCGTCTGATCTGGTTCGATGAATTGATTCGATTATGCCGTATCGGGAGATCCAGGAAAGCCCGGCCACGTTGTAGCCAGGCGAGCCCATATATTCCGCCGCGGTGAATTCTTGTGCTGTGTTGTAAACTTAGATTCGATATAATTATTTAGTGTATATCTTGTATACACCATAATTAATGATGTACGTAATAAACGATATTAATAACCGCGTGCTAATTATGAACAGCGGTCGAAAATGCCTATAGAGGTGGTTAATTTCTAATTCTCACTGCAGAATTCGGCTCCTTTATCGGCATTTCTTTACGAAAAATAGGAGAAAGAGGCGAAGAGAGTGGCATAAAACGTGTAATCGATATACGTAACGTACGGTCCAGCTTGCGCTCGTGAATCGATCGAGCCATGTGTGACCAGCCTTTCCTTCTCGAGAAATTTATTTATATAAAACTCTTTATCCTTGAGGAGCAACGAACTGTGTGAAAATCCGCGGCGGTCGCTCGCTATTTTGAAACACCCGTAATCTAGCCAATCATGGTCTCCATCTTTTATATTTTTGTTTCATCATTCGATTTTATGTAATTTGGATATATAGAAGTTATTATCTTTGAGACATTTTTGTATTGTAATTGTACCAAGATTTACGTTTTTTGACCTCTGAAGTACAACAATTGTACAGTTGTATTATTGATGAATGATTTATATAAACGTACGACATGCAACTTTGCACGATATCACATGGATTTTTGGATAACATTTTATTGCGAGCAAATTGCACGTAGTTCTAACTGTATTAATATCAAATAATAATACTTTAATGATAGAGGAGATGATGCGACACGCAAAGCTCCTTATCATTTTTGATAAAAAAAAATTTTTTATCCTTTGACCATGATATCAACTGTTACAATACTATGACCAAAAGGAAATTTCATGCATCCAATTTTTAGAGATCGATCTAATAATTTTCTCTTTAAATTGCTAAAGAGGGAATGATAATAAACTTTAAGATGAGATTTTTATGATTTGCTATGTACATTATTTTAATATTTGTCAAAATTGTATATATGCATTAAAAGTTTAAATTCGATATACAGCATCGATCTATCAAATCGAAGATTATTTGCAAACATCTAATTCGATTGTAATATGTACAAAAGTTGAATAGTGCAATAAAATATGTTTAAATAAAAATGCGTTTAAACGAAAGATATGATGGACTTCGGTGCTGTAAAAGTAATTGTGGTGAGCGATCGCCGTGAATATGTACGCAATTAAAGAAAAATGAACTTTTGTATCTATTGGATAGCGAACCTATTACTTATAGATTAAAAAATATATACATATATTATATATAACGCGAGAAGGGAAATTCATAGTATTAACTGGGAGGAATAAAATGCAAAATATATATTTTATCTTTACTCGTATATATGCGCATTAAATTACAAGATATACGTAAATTAAACCAAGTACCGTGAGTGTATGCAAAAGTAGAACGTAAAACTGAACGTAAAATGCAACAGTGTGTACGTACGAAGTATGTCACTAAGATAGTCCGTATTCGATAAGAGTAAAACATCTAAAATCTAATTCGTAAAAATAAAGAAATAGCGTTAAGTAAACGGGTATGTGTCGATCGCAGTAAGCGGAGGTAGCGGTCGTAAATTTTTAATTGGATTTTCGTCTAAATAAAAAACGATATCCGCCATTAAGCGTACACCACGGGAGAAACGCGCAATGAAAATTTTATTTATTATTGTCCACAATACGCCAGAGAGCGGCGGCACTTGCAAAAAAATGTACATAAGTCCGATCTTTCTAACTAGGCTATCTGCAAAAAAACGCTACCAGATAAGTAGAACAAAGAAAAACAAAGAAATATAAGAAGTAACGCTTGTCAATGAACGAGTAACTTTCAGACCGTAATATTGTTTAGTCCGGTAATATTTATTGATACATGTTATATATATCGCAAAGTGGATCTTTCTGTTTGTTTAATTGATTATACAATAAATATTTTTTATAATGTACTAGATAAAGTTGTAGGTATTTGTATGTACCATTATTCTACTTCCTTGAGTATCTCTACGAAATGACGTGGATTGGTAGAGATTACGAAATCCTTACGCTGATGTTGTATTCTCGCATATCCAATCATTTTTATCGAATTATACGTGTAGATATATATGAAACGACGTAAGAAAAGAAACTTCATAAAAACATTTTTCCGTGTATTCATATTTTGCTGCTTCATCCTTTCGCAATTTCGATTCTTTAATCTGATTTTTGATTAGGCAAATTAAATAAACAAATTACAAAACGTCTCATACGTGTATACGCCGAAGAGTTCCTGACTTTCTGTCGCAGGAAAGTGTCATTAATTGCATATACCTTTTAGGAATCGTATTTCTATTCAAATACGTAAAATGTATAAATAAGCAAGTCCCTCGCTTCATCATCATCCATCGAACTTAAACTCATTGATGTGAAATATTTAGTTAATATCGTTTCTATAACATGTGACAAAACAACAAAAGTACAGACAAAATTTCAGTACACATTGGAATACATTTCACTGGTTTTATCTTTTTCATAAATTTTATAATGCAAATTGACTAATATATTTACTGTACTTGCTTCATTTAATCCCTAAATCATATTTCGATGTATTTGTAAATGTAAAAAAGATCAAATCATCATAAATATATTGCTTATGTAATGCAACTAGAGGAGATTGCCATAATAATATACAAGAAATTTCCGATTTTTTGCTATTTCAAACGTGAGATGTGCGGTCTCATCGATTATAGGTTCCGCCATATGAAGACTGATAGATTCTGTAACGCGAGACAAGAATATTGTATACAATAGTCGCTAAAACAAGAAGACATTTAGACCGATATAAT